CCACCTCAATAAGCTAAGTAATACTCAAACTAGAAAATTGATTTATACAATAAATATTGCACCTAAATATGTCAAATTCACACAGAAGGAAACAGATTAGATAACACACATGTGGAATCAAGAAAATCTAAAAAATTCATTATAAATAAGTTATAAATGGATTTCAAAGAAAATTAAAATTACAGACTTCTTGTGAAGTCTGCTAGAAAGAGCGAAAGACTAATTAATCATGAAAATTAGTTGGATTATAACAGAAGATGTGAAACTCGACCATAAGGAAGAAAAATAATTAACACACATTTTAGATGAAAAAAATCTGAAAAATTCATTATACATAATTTAAAAACGATTTTTTAATTAAAAACAACAATTCAGACAACAAATGCAGTCTACTTGTAGACTTCAGTCAGATGTCTACCAACAACAGCTAAGTACTACTCAAACAAGAAATTGATTTATACAATAAATATTGTACTTAAATATGTCAAATTCACACAGAAGAAAACACATTAGATAACACCCATGTGGAAGCATGAACATCTAAAAAATTCATTATAAATAAGTTTTAAATGCATTTCTAAGAAAAATAAATCTGCAGACTTCACAAGCAGACTTCTACAGTAGACTCGCGTCTGCTGTCTATTAGTAGAATGCAGATGAAGTCTACACAATGGGTTATTTTTGAAATTACAGCACACGCTAGCAGACTCTATTAGAAGTCTATTGGGTTATTTTTGCATTTGACCAGAGTTTGACTTTTTCAGCAGACTTTTCTATGAAATCTGCGAAATAAAAAGGTTATTTTTGCAATTGACCAGAGTTTGACTTTTTCCAGTAGACTTCTTTTGTAGTCTAATAAATACGCAGAAAACCGTCGATATCCAGTAGACTCTATCAGAAGTCTGCTGAAATGAGTAGACTGCAAATAGAGTCTGCTCTAAAAGAAGGGGTTAGATTTGCAATTGACCAAATTGTTGACTTTGCCAGTAGACTCCATCTGAAGTCTACTCTGGAAAGAGGTTAGTTTTGTGTTTGACCAAATATCGAATTAATTTATTAGTAGACTTCTTCAGAAGTTTCCTAATTAATTGAATTAATAGCATACTTCATAAGAAGTCTGTCGATAAATGTTTTTCCTGGTTAATGATTGAGATTTTGGTCAAACGCAAAACTAACCCGTCCGTACAGAACAAACTTCAGATTGCGTCTGCTCAAAAAGTCAACAATCTGGTCAATGCCAAAAATAACCTCGGAG